AGAGGGCCTCCTAGCGCCGGAGAAGTCCACCGGCTGCACGTTTTGACAGACTAAAAAAAATTTAGTTCCTTAGATATCCTTCTTTTGTTGAGAAAGACCGGCCATATAATCTACTGGAGTTTCAATCTCTTACAAAAAAGTCATGCCCCCTTTTTTGTAAATGAGAACATGACAGCTATCAACATTGTTTCCACGTGGTCAGTATTTTTCTGTGTAAAATACAAATCTACTTCACCAATGACAGCGAAGACAACAATAAAATGACAAAACTAAAAAGCAAATAAGAAGATTTAGACATGAAGGGAAGGAAAAGTTGTTGTTGAGCTTCAACGAGGGGAAGGAGGGCGGGGAGTGCGGGTGGAAGAAAGTACAGAAAAGTTAAATCTACATCCAATTTATCACAGAATACAAGGAACGTGAGTAAAAAGTAACCATGAATGGTGGACTGAAAATGCGTAAAATTTTGAAGTTGGTCAGTTTGTGTGCCTAAAACACGGAAAAAGCTCACTTATCCATAATAGCCAACCACCACTAGATATTACTCATTAATACAAGTAGAAATATTCATATGAAGGAACTTACCAAACGAGCAATGAAATGTGAGAATATTTACTTACGGTTGGATTGCACAAGAAATTCTTATAAATAACATTCCCCTCCTTTAATAATGCCCACGGAAGGACTGAAATAAAGAAAAGAGAGCTATATTTCATTGTTCCGGTGATGATCAATTAGAAGGCGGCTCAATCGCCTCAATCCATTAAAAGTTTATGCCGGGTTAATTAGCAATTCTTCGAACTCTTGGATTACTTTCATTTCGAACAGAAAAAAAGCCAGTAAAATAAATGCTTTGCTTACCATCTTCTCATCCTCATCCGAGTAGCCAACGTCCCCTTCTTGCTCCTCCCAATAGAGCTCATTTGAAGGCACCGCACGCCTCTGTTGTGCTCGGTACTCTTGGCGCTGGTGTGGATAATTTTGTGGCTGATATAGTTGTTGGTACCTCGAGCCACCACCATCACCAGCACGCATGTGCGTTGAAGGGGAAATCATCTGGCGCCGGTGAATCGGCGGCAGTTTGTGGGGGCCTTGACCTGCAGGCTGGTAGCCGCCCTGATAATAGCCAGTCATTTGAGGTGCCTCTTCATCGTACTCAGCTTGAAAAGTGAGAACACATGACCTTAAAACTGGCTAAATAACACTATTTAGCAAGAGGGACTTCAGTGTTAATCGCATTAGACAAATAAGTAATTTTGGTGATTTCAAAACCACTCCTACCTCAAAGTGATGATCAGTATAACTTTGGACCTACATGATTCAATGATCCTTTCGAGGATACTTCATATGCTAGGAGGTGTTAAAATTTCCAGTGGTAAGAAGAGTACTCACATGAGTTCAAGTACTCGTCCCCCTCCTCCTCTTCTTCTTCGTCAACTTCCTCTTCTGCAAGGTCTTCCACATCCATTACCTCCTCTTCCTCCTCCTCATCCACTTCTTCCTCCTCATCTCCTCGCATTTCACTCCTTTTCTCCTCCCACCTTCCATCGTATTCACTCCTACCAAGCTGCCTCTGCCATCTTGATGGCACCCTTTCTTGAATCGACGCCGGTTCTCTAGCCTCCGAAGCATCTTCTGACAGTGGTGAGAGAAGACTAACCCGATCCTCCGGTGCTGGAGAGCGCGCTTTCTCAGTCGCAGGAACCGACGTAGTGCTCACCTGACCACTGATACCGAGTACACGTTCGGCTTTGGCGGTGTTGCCAATGGCTGGATGGCTGGCACGCCAGTAGGCTTCCAGATACTCCGCGAGATGTTCACAAGCGTCTTGAAGTTGATTCTCCTCCAGAATGACATCAAATTGGTCCTAAAGGGTTAGATTGCCTTAAATCGTGTCGATCAGGAAAAAAAGGGACTAAGGGTGGTATGCATAGCCAAAGCAGATAGGTGCTCAAGTGTGTCAGCATATGCCAAACAGCTAGCACGGTTAAAAGTCGAATTAGTGTCAACTTGGGGCATAAAATTGTCACCAGCGTACATTTTCTTGAGATTAGCAATAATGTGGAGGAACACTGCGTACCCCACAAGGGAGAAGAAGGGGTGGTAATTAAGAGAGTCACGAGTTCCAAAGGGTGTGACAATCCCCAACTCTGCCGATTTACACGTCCGCCTTCGAATATTACCAAGGGGAAATGAGAAGCGTAGAAACAACTACTTGGGAGGGGTAGATTAAAACTGTCACAATGACGAAGACAGGAAGATTGTCAAGCCCTCCGACGGAACATATTTTAGACTAACGAATCTAGGTATGCTGAAAGTTCATCCCATTTACGCCAACTCCAAAAAGCATGTCGTTTCCATTGTCCTCTTCGTATGCCACATCAACTTGGACTTTTCAAATAGTAGTTACTGAAGAAAACTCCAAATTTGTTTGGAAATTCGACAAAACTACGATACAGCAGGGAACTCAAGAATTAGGCTTCATCTAGCATTCAGAAGTTGAAGATGGGTATCAAACTCGGAATCAAAATAACCCTAACTTCCTTCGAAAAGCCTCTGTTCCTATTCAAAAAGAACTGGAAAATCAACAACTTCTAAAACGGTGCTTCCTTTTTGAAATCCGCTCATTAGAAACACTTTTCCACTTATGCAAAATTACTGCTGAGAGAAGCGCTAAAAGGCACGCCCATACAATCAACAGCACGAAGGCTCTACTCTTTCCCAAGGGAAGAGGCACACAATTTTAACTTATCCAAGGATCAGCAGCTACAAAAAATGTGTCACCAAAGCCAATTTTGGCAGCACTGATCACTGAAATGCACTTGTGGAGGAACAATAACGCGACAAATGAGGTAAATACTACATTTCAATATTAGTTATTAATCAAATTTAACCAATCCAATACTAGTCAGTAAATGGATCAGATATAAGGAACCAAAGGAAAAAATTACAACAGCAGAATTTGCCAGTCGAAGATACAATTGACTACTATTTCCTAAATTAATAAAGTATGGAGAAGATCATCCAGCGAATAACAGAAATAGTGGGCTGCGTCGAGCCACGAACCAATCACATTTAACCTACTCTGCCTTAGCCAATAGCAAAGGGGTTGGGTCGACCAACCAACAGCTAGAAACCAGGCACACTTACATTGGTACATTGGAGCAGTTTTTCCGCCGCGACCATTTGGACATTCATGTTACGGGATTGCGATTTACCGCGGGTCTTGATGAGGCGTTGGAGAACCTTGGTGGAGGAGACTTTCACGTAGACATTCACTGGTGCCAACGACGTCTTCGCCAATTGACTGGGATGATTGATGGTGTCGCAGTCGAGCACCACCAATTGTTGCGTGCGTGCCAAATCAAAAATGCGCTCAATTTCCTGCTGCACCTCTACAAGTGGAGGGAAGTGATTAAGTTAAAGGAAGGATTCAGGTCAACTTGGGAGTCTGAAACACAAAAAGAGCATGCTGATGTGGAGGTACTGTAAAGGAGGGAACTGACTCCAAACTTGACTCACCAAATGATTGATTCCGTGTTGATGCCTTATCCATGATGGCTCGCCGAGTTGGGTTGTTGAGAAGTGAGCGTTTAGCCAAAGAGATGTCAGCAGTGACCCGTGTTATGATTATTCTACGTAAAACGGGAAAGTAATCTAGACTGGAACGCTCGTTCACCTAAACTCAACAAATAAAGCCTGAAAATGGCTAAATGGAACTTTTCTGTTGATACACTTATCAGGTAAAAAGAGGACGATTTGGTGAGACCATTTACGCAACTCGCAACAATGATGTGCGGCTTGAAGGGCGGGGAGGCTTGTAGGACTATCTGTGTGGTCTGTCAGTCACAACTTCTATTGCGGTGTTCTCCATCATCTTTTGATTTGCCCCTTTGAACCCTCCCATAATTACATGTAGATTAGAACCGATAGCCGTGACTCAATTCTGTCTGCCTAACAAGTGCAGTTCAGCTCATCTTTACAGCTACCGAAGCCTCTCGTCTAATTTATGCGATAGTCGAACGTATAGCTTAACTTTGAAACACAGGGGGAGAGAAAAGGTATCGGTATCTCGTTTTTCGAAACAAAAGGAAATATTAATTACCCTTTAGCATTGCCTATTTTTAGCGGATATAGGAAGAATTGCATACAAGAAAGCAGAGACGTCGTATATAATATGACGCAGATAGCGAACATGCTAAAGTTGACTACAATAGTTGCAGTGGTACCAAATATCCCAAATTTATGGTGTAAAAGGTAAGCAACTAACCTGCCCTCAAATCGATGCTTCAGGAAGTCAAACAACGCCTTTTGCATCATATCTGTCACTTCGTAGCCTTTCAAAGAGGGTCCGATGAGTACAACCGGACGCATTGTAGGGACCACTTCGTAGGGCGGAATATTGTCAGTCTGCAAAGGGAAGATAAAATGTGTTGGTTGCATTTTACCATAGAATTTAGAGCCAGAGAGAGAGGAAATGCAGTAGGAAGTACACCTTCTTGAAAAAGGCCTTTCTACCAGCCTTGGAATTGCTGACACTTTTGGCGCGTGAGGTCTGCTCATTCTCATCCCCACGACCTTCGCCATCAGTGTCACCTGCGGAAAAAAGGCAAAATCAGTAAGACATTTGAGGACAGGAACAAACTACGTACCATTAAAATTTTCTCGACAAAAAGGTTTTAACTAAAAAAACGATTCAAACGTTTGGCTAAATAGGAAAAATTTGTTGATTTAAACAGATTTTAGGTTATAAAGGTGTAAGACAACATTTTCTGATTTGGTTTGCATTCAATTAGGAAAAAAGCAAACATATTTAGGAGTGAGGATGACAAGGAAATACCTGGGGGTGTTGAAGCTCTGGAAGCAGAAGTGCGTGGAAGTGAGGAGGAGTCAAAAGTCCCTTTGCTAAAATAAAAGCAAAAAAATAAAGGGAATGGATCACACAATCGTCCAAAAAGAGAAAGGAAATGCGTTCAAACCTGAGAGATTTGGAGGGTCGTGTTCGAGTTCGGAGGTATTCCAGCTTTGCCGGGGAGGGGATAAATCCCACATCTGAATTCTCCTTCACCAATCGACCTATCCACCACTCGTTGTTAAATTTCTCTTTGATGTGGAGGAAGTCTTTAAGCTAAAAAAAAGCCGAAATTGCATCTGTAAGCACGTGAAAAAGATTGCTATAGTCTTTTATCTGTAAGTGACGATAGGCTTTGAAAATTTCAAAATCAGTAGGAAAGTTGATAAAGTGGTAAAGAATGTCACCTGAAAGCTGACGACATGTCCAGGTAACGGACAATCAACACATGCAGAACCATCGAAGCTGACATTCGTTCGGACAGCAAATACAACGGATGAGACCTACAGTCAGCAGACCGCAATAGTGAACGACATTTTGTAAAATTGTAATCGAAAAAAATGACAGTTTGAAGACCTAAGCTTACTCTAGCCTTTTCCAATTGCTCTTTAGCCAAGCGTTCCAACTCCAGTCGTTCAGTTTCAGCATCAAGAGATTTACTTCCATCGTCATCGTCATCTTCACCATCAAAACTTAACTGAGACGAGGGGACTGACCGTTCCGATTCCTTAAAATATTAAATTGAAAGATTTTCAAGAAGTGTATGAGATGGCATTGAGGAAATGCATTGATTGCATTAAGAAGGGAATAATGAGCTTGGAAAAAGTACCTGTCGTTCAAAGCTGGTACTTTTACTAGAATATATGCTATCGGATCGCACACCAATCATTAAAATCCACCTATAAAAAGAAATATTAATAAGAGTAATTGGCAATAATTGTCATGCAATTCCACAGTCATGTAAGTCAGAAAAAAACATACATAAAGGAAAATAGACAACAGTTATTTGTGTCATAAGAAAAAGAGCATTAACGAGATGAGCGAAACTACAAGGAGTCATTACACATATCACGAATTTGTGAAATTGGGGCAGAAAATGACCAAACAAAGAAATGCAAGAGCAAAATCATTGTACAAAAACAAATGTTGACGCGTTCATGTGCAGAATTGCAAAGTTTAAACAAACAATCCCCAGCACTGTAAGAAAAGCAAACAGCGCATAATGACCGAAATTAGGTTGGCCAATCAAGGTCGAGATACGGGACTTCAAACTCTGCACGTGACCTTCCACAAAATGACGTTATTTGAATAACTAAAAGACCTAAAAAGGAGAAAAATTTTGAAAAATAGACAAAAGTATCTAAAAAAGGGTTATTTACTTGTTTAAAACGCGTTAGATTAAGTGCTTGAAACGCCAGTTTGTCAAAAGTGTAAATCCTAATTTATGATGTCCCTTTAGCACACTCGGAAAGTTACATATAGCTAGGGGAGATCACTACACGTAGTCCCTTTTTCCTTCAAAAAAATTGCCCTGGTCATTTGTAGGATTTGAATCTTATTGCAAGCCAATCGTTAGCAAATTGTTTACTACCTCCTGGATTTACTAAATTGATCACTTTATTTTTTACGAGTATTTTTACTACCTAAAATGCTAATCGTGTCTGTCCGACAAAATTACAGCCTAAATTTTACCACTCAGGTTCTTAAACCATTGACATTTTTGTGATACCCGCACTTTAATCATAATTATTTGGCTAAAATGGTAGCAGTGTAACGTAGGGTAGCCCGAATGCACGCTTTTAAATAGCGAATGCGAGGATATACCTAGTCTTATATTGAGACGAAGGAAAGTGAGCTTTAGGTTTGTCGATAAAATGGTTTCTTGACACTTCCCTAAAGTCGAACTTGAAAGAAGTAGGATGGGAAATCTCACGCTGCTAAATGGTAAAAATGCTGAGCGTATATTAGCACCGTCTAAATATCACACCACAGACCGGGCTCACAATATCCGGAGACAAGGGTATCTGCATTATTCACCTTACAGTAAAGCAATAGCCTAAGCAACTGTTATGCGATAGTTTTTTATTTCTTCTTTTTGATGATGAGCCACTTCAGATCTGGCTATTGTATCACATCGGGTGAGCTGGCTTTTGAGCCATGATGGAGCCTAAATGCCTCCTGTATGCCAAATGCATATTTTTTGATCCAGTATTATATCTTCATTCGTCTTTAGGGAAGTCTGGATGCGCTGCGTAACTACATCGTATCTATTATTACAAGGGAATGGCAAGTTCTATTCACAAAAATTGATAATTGATAATTGATAATTCTTCGGCGATTCTAGTATTAAGCTGTGTTTACGCATCATTAATCCAAATTTGCTCTCTTAAATTTGGCCGCATTTTACTAACTGGTATGTCTTCCAGGCTAAGTAAATTTTCGATATTTTTTACATTTAGTATGCAATAAATACATTTCCATAAAAGGCTAGTCAAAAAATATGATTTTATGTTTCGCAAATCCCACTCCACTCGAGTGTCGACGGTTATGCCGATTCAGAGAAAATAAGCTCCTCCATTGTGGTGCATTCCTGTACAAAATGCCAACTCATCACTGCACCTTTTCTGCTGCCCTGTCTTTGCCCCGCATATAAGAAACCGTCATAATTTATCCAAAAAAATAAGAAGAGAAATTCAGTTTTGTCTTTTTTGGATTCAAGATGCCATTCGCTCGTCGGCTCCAAAGTCATACAAAGTATTGTTTTGAGCAGCTGTGTCAAAACACCCCATGTGTTTAAACAGGCATTGTGATTTGGTTTTTAAGTGGGATTTAGGTAGTTTATCAAACAGGGGGAAAAATAGTAAAAACCATACAGTGCTCTTTATAAATCCGCTAGATAGTCGAAATTCGCCTTACTACTACAGAAACGCAGCTTGATTTACTTTTCACCTGGATTACCACCTCATGTGATTAAATACTTTACGAAAGTCGCATGCACCCGCATCTATGGTAAGGCAGCAGAGATAGTCAGTCATGTGGTCGCCTTTGGTTATTCGAAGTCTAAAATTATTTAGACTAACTAATAATCTGGGTTTTTTGGTCCACATGAACTTAACAGTGGCTCCATAATGGCGAATTTTGTACTGTTGTAGTTCTACTTGTTACCCAATCACCTGTTTTTAATACAGAGATTTACACCATAGATTACCTGACACTGATGTTGATGAGGGACTTCCTCAAACATTCGGAACTGTCGAGTGCTAATCATCACTACTATTATTACATACGCTGACCAAAGTCAATAACTACAGTTTTTAATGAATACTTCACAGCCGCAGCCTTGTTTGTTGCAAGAGTTTCAGAACCCGCGTGTGAGGTGGTTAAATAACCCAAGAACTACACTTGAGGGTATGACATTTGCGTGAAACGACACAGCAAGGTGTGTTACTTTGAAGTTTCCTGCCAAGTAATCTGCTCATACGCACACAGACAAACACGCACGTCTGCAAACAGGTGGGTGCGTGTTCAAACTCAACAGATTCACAACTAATGGGAGGCCTCGATTTGCGTGTGCGCGTTCAAATGCGCGCACACGCACAAATGCAGGCGCTTCCGGTGCAACAGATTCACTCCAGTCTTGATACACCTGCAAACAGTTAAGCAAGTCCTGGGCTCCCTCATTCTTCTTCTTCTGCTCTCAACATGCCTGTGAAGATTGTAAGTTTGAAATCTTTTATCTACCTTGTCCACTGCATTCTGATTGGCTAATAATATCAAACCGGGTCAATATGCCGACGCCAACTAGCCTAGGTATGCACACCGCTGAGTTCATTGTGATTGAATTCTGAAGTAGGTAGTATGTAGTTAAAGCGGTAACCTTGCTATTTTTTGCCACGGTGAACATACCTTTCAGTTTTTTGATGTGCTTCTTAGTTTTTTTTTCCGAACCTCCGTGGTTCTAAATAATATTTGCGACAAAGTAAGGCTTTCGTGCAGTTTTGAAGTCACACTGCAAAACCTAGCACTTTTATAATGTTGAATTTTTTAAAAGGGAGAATTTTTGGACTTACGCTAAGGCACATTGTCATTAACAACAAGTTTTAAATTGGGCATGAGAAAAAGAGTGAAAATGATATGAGTAATCATTGGCAGGTGTCACAGGTGGAGTAACTGTTATGGCTGAGTGACCAGATGATAACAATTTGCCAAGGCGTTACTTTCATGTAGGTTGCAATTCGCCGTGAGAAATGAAGTATTTTGAGGTGATTGTGGGAGTAGGGATATTTGGGATTCCCAGTTGGTTCTTGGCAAGAAAGCATTTCAACTATTTTAATCCGAAGGTAGAGTTCATAGCCTGTTTATTTTACCCGTTTGGAATTAGAAGTTTTTTTTTTCAACTAAGAGCCCTCACTATGGCACACATCACAATCGGAACCTCAATTAAGATGCAAATTGATGGTTAGAAGTTGTATGCGTGAGAAAGAAGCGGAAGATCCAAGAGAAGGTTACTCATTCTAATTATGTTGTGCTAGGTTTACGATCCTGATGACTCCGCGGGACGCGTTCCCAACAAGAATATCAAGCACAGGAGCCTTGTCAACGGCAAGGTTATCAATGTCAAAATGGGCACTCCTGACGACTACAGTAAGTCGAGGACTTCACTTTACGTATCCATACACCGTATTTTTCAATGAGAATCGTGCCTTTCCTAAATCTGAGAATGATTTTCCCTAAGAACTCCTTAGAAGATTGACTCATTTTACGTTTCTGTTCTTCAAATAACTAAAAGTAGAAAATCAGTTTGTTTGCCTTTTTTGCTCGCATAGGCGTTTTTGTGCGCTTTTCACGTCTTCAATTAAAACAAACTACGTCCAAGACGTTGTCTCTGGTATGCATGATCTGTGAACTGCTAAAGTGCTCCCCTGGTCTGCCAATCCTGCAAAAACCTTGGCGATGACCTCAATGTCAATGCAGTTATATTGCATTATTTTTGACTTCTGAGGTAAATCAAATGGATAGATCAGGTCTGCCTAAAGTGTTACTGGATGCACCCGTTCCCTTTCGTCGAGTCCATCATGCAAAAGTATACAAAAAGACGCTTAGGGCTTTCAAAGTACCAACTAGAAGAAGGGAACCAGGGCGATATAAGCGCTTGGTTAATTTGGACCTTTATGGAAAACTTAAAAATACGGAAAAGAGTGTTTTTGCCGTACCTCAAGGTAACGTGGAGGTGTTGTGTCAGGATTTGGTATGATAACGATAGGTTGTATATGTTGCATTCTTTGTTCCAATGGGATATCTAGTATATATAATCTATTTATTTTATTTTCTTCCTTCTAGAAAAGGTTCTACAAACCAAATCGAGTACCCAGCGACTTAGTGTCAATCCAGATGTGCCGAAGACCCTGACTCCCAAGGGTTACACTAAGGTTAGTCGCCCAATACTACTACCTAAGCGTATTTTAGCGTATGGCTAATCTTGCAACCTTTTATGCCTCCTTTCTGTGTTTTTAGATGCAATTGATGATGGGCATTGCGCAGAAGAAGTATGACAACATAGTGCGAAAATTGAAGGGTACAAATTCCCTCTGGGAGGACCCCGATTTCCCTTTGAATAGCGCTATTGGGAACATAGGAAATCTACCTCGACTTGAATGGAAACGACCCAAGGTAAAATGCCATACTAACAGACGATTAAAAAACTTGTCGTTGAGTTATAACAGGATGATTTGATTTCCCTGTCGTAGGAAATAAATCCACGTGCCGATTTCATTGTGGCTGGAGCTGATAGAGGAGATGTCGTTCAAGGTCAACTTGGTAAGCTTTAGTACTACTCCTTTGGGAAGTTTTTAACATTTTTTTTTCAAAAAATGAGCCATTGTTTCCTCAATGAACAAATGGAGAAATAAATATTTTACGTGGCCGTGAGAAACATGATTCTCGGTTGTGAAATCTTGATATGCGGTCGCGAGGTGGGTAGATGGAGGAAAACCCAGTCAAGACAAGTACAACATTACTTGTACCTAGTAGTTTCACACCTGGCAAGTAGGCAGAAGGCCTATTCTTAGAGTACAGGAGGGACAGAGAGGCTATAGGCGTGAAAAGGAGGCCATGGCACTGAGGTTATGAAAATGCATTATTAATTCATGTTACTCTTTTTCCTTTAAAGGCGATTGTTGGCTTCTGGCTGTAATCTCTTCAATGGCCGACATCACCGAACTCTTTAACCACATTGTGCCGAAGGGTCAGACGATCCAAGGCCCCGACTATGTGGGCGTCTTCAAGTTTCGTTTCTGGCGGTTCGGCCAGTGGGTGGAGGTGTTGGTAGATGACCGCCTGCCCGTTGTGGCTGGTACCAATGAAATGATCTTCATGCACTCCGATGAGTGCAACGAATTTTGGTCTCCACTGATGGAGAAGGCCTACGCCAAGTGCGTCGCTTTCACTGCTCTAAGCACTGCAGTCTAGGCGTTCCATCTCCTGTAAAGTAGATTCACGACCTCATTAAAATCGTCTACCAACATTAGAGATTCATTAAGGAGTTAAATTTTACCGAATATACACCTCAGACGGTTCCTTGGATAAATAGTTTTCACGATACTGCCATTAAAATTCATAGGGGAGAGAGGATTTGTCGATTCCTTGATTCAGAAAGATGTTTAAACACCACTTACCTTCTCAGACTAGGGGCCTCCTATGTCTGTTATTCCTTCCCAAAAAGTCAAACAAGCTGTTTACAACACACGATTTAATACACCCAGTCATTATAACGTGCGTCACATATATGTGACGATGTTGGTGCAAGTGTTAAATCAAGCGCCGAAACCAAATTCCTGCTTATAAACCCACCTCTAGACTGAACGGGTGCTATGCCAATCTCTCGGGCGGTACTCAAGGTGAAGCAATGGAGGATATGACTGGTGGTCTGGTAGAATCATTGGACTTGAAAAAGGTCCCTGGTCCGGAGTTTTACAGTGATGTGCACAAGTATCTTAAGCGGTGCTGTCTAATGGGCTGCTCCATTACCGTGAGTTACTTGCTGTTAATTTCCTTCATTGGGTTTCAGTTTTTGTTTCCTCATCGAAGACCTAATTCCATCGTACAGATTGGAAAACGCGAAAAAAGTTAAATCCCGGAAGACTGACTAAGCATGTGTAGTTGTCCTCGTCTCCACTTTTTCTTTGGCCATAAGAAGTCTTCCATCCACTAGACAGGAAGTATGGTTGCACGACGAATGTACTCTTGCTTTCTTAGCCTTCTTCCCTTGGATGAGCTACACAAAAGAGGAACTCATTTGAAAAGTAGCTCCTGGGGCTGGACTACTTTTGGGGGTAAAATCATTCCCCTCGCAGTAGACTCCCTCCTCCCGTGATACTGGGACATGGCATTTTTAGTCACCAACAGCGGGTTTGCATCCCGCTGCCACCAATGTGGAACCCCCAATCACCCCAAAGTACGTCGTAAGGCATGCTGCCTCAGGGAAAGGGGCTTTATTCTCAATAAACAGACGGTCTGAATGCATGGATACCAAATGGTCTGTGCAGCTGCAGCTTTATATTTACTTACTGTCTTCTTGACCGTCCGACATTTGTCTTTCAGTCCAAAGAGATTGAGGCCAAACTAAACAACGGTCTGATCGCTGGACATGCCTACAGTGTAAATGATTTGGAGGACGTAAGTGGTTGATTATCACTTCCTTTTTCCTTGAAAACCATGTGCGTGCATATATTTTTACCCTGTGTCAACTCTAGGTGACCTACAAGGGGTCAAAGGTTCACCTTTTACGAGTTCGTAATCCCTGGGGCAATAACTACGAGTGGAAGGGTGATTGGTCGGACAATGCACCCCAGTGGCGTGATGTGAGTGAAGCCGATAAAACACGTCTGCATCTTCGTTTCGCCGCAGATGGTGAATTCTGGTAGGCCATTGTCTTCTGGTGATTTCGCGACTGTTTTTTCTTTTATTCATAGAAGAGTTGCAGACACTAGGTTTTAAAATGGAGTTGAAACATCCACTTTTCAACACAATCTTCCTCCTCCCCTCCATTTCCACACGTTTCTCAGCGCTTCCACACTCAAAAAACGTGTCAGCTCGGCTTAGTCATATCAGAACAGCTTGCCTGCCTCAGTATCAAGTGAAATCTAACCTTCCGACCTCCTAAATGCTTAGAATAGATGTGTCATCATGAATTTCTGTGCGCTGGCTTGCTTTTCACCATAGTGATGGACGGAAATTCACTGCTCTCGGAACCGTTACTAGGATAGCGCTGTACTGCTGATGAACCGGGCATCTCATCAGCGTTATCGTACTCTGTTTTTAGGCCATCCAAAGGCATCCGCAAGAAACTTTACGTACCCGTCTGGCGTCTTGATTAGCAGTGTCTAGACTGGCAAACGGTGCTTGTATCAGGTGGTAGTATCAGGTCACACTTCCCGACCATCACCACAGTAACAAGGCATTTAGACGTGTAAAAGCCAATCTCTCTTCGATCTGAATGCCCCACTTACAAGCCTTAAAATTCGTGTTTTCATACTCCACTCACTTGAATTTCTTACCTGCTTTGAAGGATGTCCATGGATGACTTCATGAAGTGTTTCACCAAGCTGGAGGTCTGCCACTTGGGTCATGAGTCTCTTGAGGAAGGCATGACAGTGAAGGGGAAGAAACGTCTTGAAGAGACCTTCTTCAGCGGTGAATGGGTCAAGAACGTCAATGCGGGCGGCTGTGCCAATTTCCGAGGTTAGCGGCTTAACAACCACCTAACAAGTAATTTCTCACCATTTCTTTCGTGGTTTTCACAATTCGCGTCCTTGAACCCGCTAGACACCTACTGGACGAATCCGCAGTACAAGATTACGGTTACGGATCCAGATCCGACTGATGACCAGGATAAGTCTACTGTTGTTATCGGTTTGATGCAGAAGAACGTGAGGAAGAGGGGAGGTGGCAATTTCTTCACCATTGGCTTCTGTGTCTATAAGGTTAGCCATGTCACTAAAAGTATGCGTTTTTTTTTGAGCGTAATGCGGGGGCGTGGAGGATTAAGAAATGCCCTTCTTTTCTACCCTTTTGGGCAGATCCCATCAAACACGGAGGGTTTGCTAAAACGCGACTTCTTCAACACGAACCGACCAATTAGCATCTCGGAGTTCACCAACACCCGTGAAGTGGTTGTCAAATTGCGAGTGATGCCTGGTTGCTACCTCATTGTGCCAAGCACTTTTAACCCCAACCAGGAGGCCCAATTCATCATTCGTGTCTTCACTGAGACTATAATTAAGGAGTCGTAAGATTCGGGAACATTGAATACCTTCCGATTGTTTATCAGATGAACTTTGATTGTGCTACTGACAAATAGGAGTCTTAAATAAGTACTATGTAACCCTCCTATTTTCTTCATTTTAGCGAGTGTGATGACAAAAACAGCTTCAAGGGGTTATCTGAGGTTTGTTGTGCCCAGATTTTTTTTTCATCAAAATGAAAGTGCGATTTTGCTTTTGATCTACGTTCTAGGAGATGGTCAAAGCCATTAAGGAGGCTGAGAAAACAAAGGTGAGGCTAGGGGCAAACTATCAGTTAGTTGTGCCGGCTTTTATGCGACCGCCTCGAGTCAATGATGAGGAAATCCCGGAGTTTTTACTTTGTACTTTGCGAATTTTTAGAATGAAGACGACTTTGTGGACAGTCTTTTCAACTCGGCCAAGGATCCTGTCACAAATTCCATCAATGCCGAACAGTTGCGTGATATTTTGAATAAATCCACCATGAAGTGTAAGTGAAACTCCTCTCTGGCTACACTTTTCTGGCTAAAAGAAGATATTCATTTTGTTGCCCTGTTTTTCCCCCTACATAGCCTCTTGCACAGATCCCAACGGATTCCAATTGGAGGCTGTTCGTAGTATGCTCGCTTCCATGGATGTATCCTTTTGCTCATAGTTTTATTGTGCATATTTGGTCCCCAAACACGTCATATTTTGAGTCGGTGTTATCTAGCCCTAACTCCACGTCTGGTGTAGAACAACATGACAGGCAAAATGGAGTATGATGAGTTTAAGAGGCTCTGGGAGAATTGTCAGTGCTGGAGGGTGAGTTCGGTAGCTACTGTGATGTGTTTGAACTTAACTGAAGCACAAGAACGAAGTCATATTTGCGATTTATGCCTCAAGGATGTTTTCGCCCAACGCGACCGCGATGCCAGCAAAACTCTCAATGTCACCGAGCTGCGCGAGGCGCTTATGAGTGCTGGTAAGTAGTATATTCTCTGCTTTCAAAGGGCAGGAGCGGTAAGGAATTTCATGATAGTAGAAAGGCAGTGAGAACAAAAACCCTTGTACTTAATACCACCTCTGGCACTATAAGGAACAGAGGCAATTTTCCAGCATCCTCGTGAAAAACCACCAGCATTTTTGAGTTCTTTTGCTTTTTAACTTTGACCTCTGGCAGGGTGCATTCTGGTGGTTGGTGTGGGCGCCTTACTTGTTAGTTCGGGTCACCTTAAAACCGTAAACATTCTTTTTTGTTTCTGTATGTCTTCTTTTAACGATGTGAAATCCCAATTTATAAACGTCACAAATGTGTGCTACCTCGATTTTCTTACCCAAGTCCCGCCTCCCGTCACAAATGCGTGACACGTGGTCTTTATCACTTGGCTATGGTTTTTGGTTTGTACCAAATCGTATCGTAAACAGGCTATCCAGATAGACCAGATACGAGGCTTTCTTGACCTCCCTAGGCAAGGCCTGGCGTCACATAAAGACGTAAAGGTATTTACACCTTAAAAACGGCAAAATGCGTGCAGTGTTTTGTGAAGCCCGCTTGACAGAAGTGCGGTTGCAGAATGCCTGCTTTGATGCGATGTCACAACAGACAGTAGAAGAGTTTACTTGGTATCTGCGCCTGTGTTTGGTGCCATGAAGCCTTCGCCTCTTGACTTGTATGACAAGTATAGTTGTCTAAAAAGGTAGATACACTTGTGCCGCAGCTCTGTCAAAAATTCGATCACAGTATTTTTTTTTTTTGATGGATTGGACAAAGTATTTAAATACGCAATTTGTCCCCCTTAGAACAAAATGATGTGCTTTTCAAAATTCCTCCTTTCAGGTTTTCACCTCTCCGGTCTTGTCTTTACCGTGGTGGTTCAACGCTTCGTCACGCAGAAGTTGAATGCGGTGACGTTTGAGGACTGGCTTATCTGCTGTGTCCGTTTGAAAAACAGCTTTGAGACTATGAAGGCGCAGTTCAAGACCAATGACGGCAACCTCATGTTCACCGAAGATGATGTAAGTGCTCTCCTCCTCCTCAAAAGACGCTTTTGCCTACTTTTGCAAGCTTAAACAGATAACCACCAATTTTTCCTAATTTTATTTAATTTAGTTCCTTCGGTTGACAATAAACCAGTAATCGCAGGTCGCAGGCAGAAAGCCGGAACTGGACTGAACACGAATGCAGCTTGCGTTTCACTTTAACTGTCTCCCCTTCACCTCTTCCTCCTATACATTTCCATTTTACTTTATTATTTGGAATTCAATCTACTTTTTTCATAAGCATCAATTTTGAAAGATAAAGTACAATAAAGAGAAGAAGTCTGTTGCAAGACGACGCACTTAGCGCTTCTGCATGGAGCGGTAAGTGGGTCTGGATGAAGGTGAGTCAGGGCTGTCTTGCGTGGGAACGCGTACTCGAGTTGGGTTGTTGGTGCGTGAGGTGGCGCCGCTGTGCAACTTCTTGGGGCAACGCTCTCGTGGTTTGGCATGTGAAAAATATGAAAGTGTGACAATTGGTGTGGGGGCGGCTCGCGTTATGCCGACAGTGTGAGGTAGGAGAGGGCGCATGAACACAGTCGGGGATTCACGGGGACTATGATTTTAGCGCTAGCCGTTTCGATAATTGTGTGTTCGTATTTCTTAAAAAAAAGTGGGAGTGTCACTTTCCATGGTTTTTAGGGAACACAGTGAAGGAGAATAAGGTGATGATTACGGCAGGACACGAATAAAAAAGCAGAAGGATGTAAGCCAAGAATTGATTTATATTCAAAATGTTCTATTTCGACCACGTACAAAATAGGAGCGAATTACAAGGAAGGGTGCAAATTGGGTAATATTTACCGTAATATTGATAAATGATTAAAATCAAGATAGGACGAAAATACTAGAGCCAAATTATCAGATTTAGGAATCATCTTGCCCATCTGGGGCTCCAAAATTTTAAATATTAGAGTTAAAAGGGCCTAAAATTGAAGATCTACTAAAGCACTGGATTTTATTCAAGTTCAATTAATTTACTAGGATTAATTTTTTACAATGTATCCGCATAGCATATTGCATCGACAAGGGAATTTACCCAAATATTCAGTGTAGAAAAAATCAATATTTTGTTCTGAATGGAAATGATAATTATTTAAGATGGCCAAAGTTTTAAAATATGCTTTTAACCTTGATTTGTTTTGACGCACGGATGTTTGATATTGACTGAGTCTCCGATACATTAAATAACCCCAGGACTATAGCAGTGTCTTTGTGGTATGCTCAAATATTTAATTCTTGTAAAATGATGTCTCTCATTCATAAAGCTTTGAGACCTGATAATTGTTAGAACTATTTAAAGTATTCCAGGCTTTACTGTCTTCCGTCACTACATACCCTACTTTATTGTTTCTTTCTCGAAATGACCACCATAAGCTACAGTTCTCTCAGCTTCTTTCTGCCTGTATATGCATTTTAGAATTAAGAAATCGACTTTAATGGTATTCGTACCTTTTTTTGGCTATACTACCTGAATTTCACCAGTCTCAAACTTTATTTACTTTTTTATTACTTACTATTGTTTAATAAGGAAAATTTCCCTTGCAATATTCATATAACGACTTTAAAGTGTTTGAAATTACTGCTAAGATCAAAGAAAGATATTCTTGATTGTTCACTAAAGTCTTTTTATTTGTCATGGCTTAGGCTGGACTGAGTTTTCTGGATTTTTCAAAGAAGTTGAGACAAGCACTTTATCAATGTTGGAGATTTCTAAAATAAACAAAGCAGAATATGGTCTGCTGAGTCGAGTTCACCCTACTAAAGCCTTTGTTTTCCCACCTTTGACTAGAGTATCTAACAAACTTTCCTTTTTACGCTCGGAACTTTTCTTAAAAACAAATAAACCACCTTTCATCTGACTTTATTAGATCAATTCATACAGTGAACTGCAGCGGCTATCCTTTCAATTTCACGAAATCGCCATATTATCTTCAGTTGATAATTAAATTCTATTTGTACAATAAACCCAATGGAACATTGTTTTACTCACTCTGGGATTCAAGGGGGGAAATCTTGTTTGTAAAATGAATATTTAATAGCTGTTTTTCTTTTAGATTATGTCGCTTTTCCATGGCCCCGATTAAAGCCATTCTGATCTACCGTATAATCTCATGCCTTTGCTTCATAACTTTGGCGATTTCCTGCGTCAATAGCTTAACAGATTTCAACCTTCTTCGACTTCGTGAACACAGTCTTTGGCTAGCTATAGGGTAAATTCGCTTTTCTCCATCAACCTTAAAATCTCCTCCACCGAGTAGGAATAAGATATTTGAGTTTAACCTACGCAACACCGCTAGCACTCCAAAGCATATTCTTAACTGGTTCCAACCAGAGCACTGCCCTCGACATCGTCTCTCCACCTCCTGCACCGGATTCATCACGCATTCTACCGAAATTGAGGAGGAACTTTTCGAGATCTGTGGCATAATGCACCACAAGGCCTTTTGTGGTCTCTATACCGCTTCCGCTCAAGGCATGCTCTTGGCAGTTTCAGAAAAACGTCTTGCGGATGAGCTGGTGAATAGGGCTTTTGAACCCTCCCTGCTGCAGCATTCGGGTAGGCCTTTATTACCTTCCAGGATCTTTGGTTTTGGAAAAGGAAACGAGGAGTGGACTAACCACATATGTGCTTTTGAAGGGTTAATGAACCTATGTCGGCGCCCTACTGACATCTATAAAGTTGCATGCCAGCAGTGTGATACTGTTGGCATACGTCATGGTTAAGGACACCTGGAATAGTCTCTGTCAATCATTACTTCGTAAGCTGTCAGTGAAATTTAAAGGTCACATTTTAATTTTGACCACCATCCTATAATAAGGCCCTTTGTTTCTATCTTCTTGCCATTAAAGTGCTTTTAATGTTTTCTAGAGCGTTAAAATCATTGCCAGGGCATGAGGGATAAAATTCTTCTAATCTCAGGCGAGCTTTTTCTCTCCACTGTTCTTGAGAGCCGGGCGTTAGCTCTATAGGAAACAACTGCTTTCGCTCCAACTCTTCACTGTTTATAACTTTGAATAGAACTGCACGATCGGCTCGATTGAACTATTTTACTTTCAACCTCTTTCCAATAAATCTGGCTGAAGACACAGGATGATGAGTTAAAGACAATGAATGCCTCCATTATTACTCTTAAGTTCATTTTAAAAGGCTTTCGTGAAAAAGACTGATGCCTGTGCCGATCGAGTATACCAGCTTGTCGTATGGTGAAAAAAAATTTCCCGGTTCGCACCACTGATTAATAAAAAAATATTTTAGTAGTATGCACAATCGATTCCCAATTACTCGACTACCACATATTGGAATGAAAAATAACTTTGCCTATCTCTATTAAGATTTTTCAAATACCTCGTTTGCAGAGGTGTTCCACTTCACCTCAACGCATCGTTTTTTCTCACCAAAATTGACCCCTCTTAAGGGGGGTCATCGAGGTGTCCCCTGGTTGCAGTAGCAAGCCCATTTTATTTAAACAATATTTCTTTTGTCAATTAATTAAATCGCCCACAAATTATCCCTGATCTTTTGTTATCCAGCTTTCTTCATGACTCTCAAACCCTAGGGATAATCAAACAGGAAGTGAGTAGCTTTGCACCAACGGGTGCTCTTGTCACTTTGCTTCCAAGATCTCCGTCCTGTGATTATCAAATGCCCCGAGACGGTGACAGTCACACATTTGAACCTTAAGAAAGTAGAACCTGAGAAGTAGAGCGGATGAGGTGAAGCAGTATTCCACTTTCTCTCGTCCATAAGTAAGGTGGACAGGGTATGGAGTCGCCCAATTTACCTGTTAAATCCTTCTAACACCCTTTAATGAGAAAGTTTTCACTATTCCTCAGACTGCATCATGTAGAGGAGGTAGATCTCGAACATCATTGTTGATGGGCTTTCAGCAAGTAAACAGTCCCCTTTCCCGGCTTGTTCGGTTGAAGGAGTACTCGCCTTAGAAGCCTTTGGCCGAATAGAGATGACCATTTGGAAATAATCACGTTTGTGGTCGTTTCCTTAGGCTTATAAAATTGGAACCATTTCTCATCACACAAATTCCAAAAGGACTGCCCGTTTTAGCAGCTCTTGTGCAAGAAGTAAAAATGCAAATTCCTAGTCTTAGAAGTCCAGATTGATGGTATGTGGCATCTATTTGCTTTGCTTTCATAACATTAAAAGTTGATGTAGGTGTAAAAGAATTACTTGTCATTCGTGTTGGAGATGACAAAGGGGACCTGTCTTTCCTCATCATTAAGAGCAGAGCATTTGTTTGAGTGTAGGGCGTCAGTCAATTGAAGGGTTGTCCTCTAGCCTTTGAAATGGCTCTACCTCAGCTTCTAAAACCGACTGGCGGAATTTTTGCTATTGGCGAGTGCGACCAAGGACACCATCGCGATGTGTCCACTAAGGAGATGAATGGTTGAGTTCTGGCGATGATTCCATTCCCATGTATTTGCTCTCTTGATTGACCACCTTTAAAGCAAGAAATTAGAAGGGAGTTAGCAAGACCTCCAACTGTGGAATATCTTTCCAAGGTCCTGGAGAGGGGAACCTCAAAACAGGCCTCCCCCAGTGACGAAAAGATGAACAACTCCGTCCTGATAGACTAGCTCATCTTACAACAACTTTATTGCAAGGGGCGCTACGCCAAGAACTGCACCGAATCTTTTTTCCTCACTCAAGGTGAACAATCAGATCGAGAGGAGATACGAGAATTTCTTCCGTTTAGTCCCTTTTTTGTTCCTGACAAAGGAGTTATGGTGATGTTATCATTTGGATTGCACATATACTCACCTCGAGTCCAAAACTTTTTTCGTCTCTAAATTGTGAGCTAGCAAATGAAGTAGTTGGCCGCAGGCAGACGGGGAACTTGAAGGAACTTTGTACAGTTTAAGGTCAAAATTCCCCACAAATACTTCATTTTATAAATACAAAGATGTGTGGGTTCTCCTAAGAGGAAGAGGAGACTGCTGCAATGGTGAGCCGGGATCCTCACCGACGCTTCTCTACGCTCCTTGAACCCTCGAAGACCTTTTGAATGGTTTCCTTTCTGTACTGAGCCTGATGTTTTCTGTCCGTAAACCTGTCCGTTCATGTTGAACTGTTTCATGTTCTAGGTGCTACTAATACCAGGCGTCTGTGTTAAGAGCATATGGAGGAGGCGTCCTGAGGCACGTCTTTGGCACTCCTTACTGAATGCATTGTCTGTAAAGCTTAGAGGTCACGATTTGACCTAATCAACCGTCCTATATCATAGCTCGCTCTCTTCCTTCAATTCGAGATGTCACTAAATCTCGCAGGACCTATTTCCACCGATTACTTTGCTTGATGGATTTTTCATTCATTCCTTCTCTCATTCGCCTTTCCATTTACCTAGAACGTGAGCCCCTACATCTCTACTTCACCTGCCTGCTTGTAGTTCTTCCTCCCTCCTTCCTTTTTTGTCTAGCAAGCAAATTGATGTCGCTGTACAGCAACCTCCCTTGCATTAGTACAAACACTCGGTATCAAGACAAATCATGTTGTCGTCATTTGGGCACTTTTCTTCACTGATTTAGAAATTCTCCTCCCTCTACCAGCAAACAATAGGTTTTTTGGTACTGTGTGAAAATGTTAGGTGGGATCGCTTACACAAAATTGTAAGTAAACGTTTTCAAGCGGCTTTAGATCTATAAGTAGTATATTTTTGTGGCATATAAGACAACGGGTGAGGGGTTGGTCACATACTTTATACCAAAAAAGAAACTTTTTTAAAAGGCTTAACATCTGCCGTTTTTATCATCCTGTTTTTAATCAACGTTTCGGTACTCTGTAGAGGGAGTAGCCCTCTAAATTGCGGGTACTGGTGGATGAATGTGTTATTTCCCACCTTTTCCACTAGAAAAATTGTCCCCTGCCCC